AGTGCACACAGGAGTTTGCCAGTTCTGCATCAAATTCTTTAATTAGTTCAGACATTGGGTGTACTTATTAGCAAGTGAATATTGCATGTTGTTTGGGAGGGACATGCTTAATATGCTGCCTTTCATTTGACAGCTGCCTAAACTAAGATTGGTTGGTGAACATGGGTGACATGATTTAGGCTGGTGGTGTAGCCCACACTCTTGTCGTGCCCATGGTGATTAGTGTAATCCATCCTTGAGCTAGCTATCATCACAGGTCTACGAATCTTAATATTTTGTACTTGACATATCTGTAAGTTATAGTAGTGTATATCTAATCTAACACAGAATAATGTATGCCTTGTCTGAGTTGTTTTATTCAGGATGCTTCTGTTCAGATATTTTTGGGTGAAAACTCTGGCATTGGTAGTAGTGTTGATGATTTGGGAAGAAGTGAAATTGTTCTGAGATTGGCTGAAAGTGACTTGTTTGGTGACCTGGCACATTTTGGGCTACTAGAAAAATAAGATGATGGCATGAAAACGATGTCCTCTGCTACAATTTTCATACTACTTGGGTTTCGAATTTCTGAAAGTATTTATTCTCGGATGATACTGCAGAATATTATCTTTTCTCTACCAAAAGAAGAGAAAAGATGATTAAAAAAAAGGCATGGTGCTTTTGTATGGAGGCAAGTGATGGTGCAGGCATGGCCAAGCCTTTGAGCAGAGGACCAGAGAACGGATAAGCAGTAGCAAGTTGTGAAGAGAAATGAGCTTGCTCTTTTTTATTTTTGTTGCTATAAGTTTCTCAATCTGTTTGCATACACAATTTTAGGTTGACCTTAATATTTGAATTCGATCACTAATATTTTCATTTCTTTGTTATGATAAATGAAAGTCATATCATTAAATTCATTATGCAGCACACTTTGCTAATATTGAATACTTCTGATATTTACAAACTTTAGTTTGATAAATAAAAAACAGAAGCTAAAGATTATATGATAGAGCTAACGGTAACCAGTACTACCTCTGTTTCAGATTATAAGACTTTCTAGCATTGCCCACATTCATATAGATGTTAATATATGTCTAGATTCATTAACATATACTTCCTCCGTTTCACAATGTAAGTCATTCTAGCATTTTCCACATTCATATTGATGTTAATGAATCTAGATATATATGAATGTGGGTAATGCTAGAAAATCTTATAATATGGGTGCTAGAATGACTTACATTGTGAAACGGAGGGAGTAAAATCTTATAATATGAAACGGAGGAGGTAATATATGGCTGTTACTATACAAAGATACCATGTAATAGGTAGGATTATACTGCACCACCAATAGCTACTACTACTATACTAAGAAATCCTTTGAACACAGGAATTTCACAGTTATCACTAGCTCACAGTTATCACTAGAATAGAGGATTCAGACAGGTCTCATAAATTGGCTGGTAAATTATGTCATAAACTCATAACAACTACCACTACAAGTCTACAAATAGTGAACTGGACCAGCATGTAGAGAGGAACCAAAAAAGCACCCAGAAGCAATAGCACTGGATCACACAGAGACAGCCCAACATCAGCTAGGCCCACAACCCAGGCCTAAATAAGCGAAAGCCCATTAGCACATCTCACATCTCCAAAACTGCAGAGAGCACAATTACCTGGTCAAAATCCGGTTGGTTTCAGTGATTCAGTGGCATAATATTTTGTTTTCAATTGCAGCAAGTAATGCTGTTAATGATTTGGCACATATCATGCTTAGTTGCTGATCCAATGCAAATGTTTCAGTTTTTGTTTATTTATAGTTCATGCGACTGTTAGTGTTGGTATGCCAAACCATGCTTTTTATCTCTGCAAATCAGGTGTTGCCTCATCATCATCATCAGACGTTCAGTTGCACTGATGAACACGTCTTGTCTTTCCCTAATACCAAGTGCCAAGTGGCGTATCTGTCATCCCTGCATAGTTGCATATTGCAACTGCATATATATACATCTTTTCTTCTTCTTCTCCAACTCTTCCTTTGCCTGAATTGCCTTTTCATATTTAGATGCAAAGCAAAAGCCTATGTACAGATGCATGTTAATGCAATCCCCTTCTCTGAATTGTTGGGGGCAAAAAGTTTGGTCATTGAGTTGCCATTTGGATCATCTTCTTTTAAAAGAATATTAAAACAGAGTGTTTGCTTCACGCTTCACAAAATACGCTTTCTTAAAATATTTTCTTTTGATGTATTGTTTATACCATTTATTTAAACTATTTTATTTATCTCTATAATCAATCAGATAATCTATGGTAATAATTCTATCAATAATTTAAATCAAACGGGACCATGGTACAAGAAGTGACTGAATATCTGAATGTTCCCTGGATGAACTTGATGATACGAGCATAAAAACTGCAGAATAACCAGAAACTAAAGCACCGTTGTTTTTTTTTTCTTTAACACGTGTGACATTAACTAATCTCCACCGATGATCAGGTCAAATTAAGAATCAACAAACACGAACTAATGGACGGATAAAAGAATCAATTTATGCATGCATCCACATCGATCGATCGATCGTTGTCGATTCGTTTGGTGAGTGAGAAGTATATGGGAAACAGGGAGAGATGAACCAAGCTACTACTTATCTGTTAAAAAAAATAAGCTCTAGCTATAAATCTAGACACACATAAGTAGGATTGGACTTTTTTTTTTTTATGGAGAGGTAGCTGCCCCCATCAAATCAGGTCTCTTCTGACAATGCAAGCATCTTTGTTTGCACATTAGCAAGCAGCAATCAAACTTTTGAACGCTTCAAAATGCTTCCTCCTTTATCTTGATTAGCTGGAAAGCTATACTCCTATATCCGTGTGCACGGTAGGGTCTCTCATCCAAGTCGGCTATGTGCCCACACGCACACTAACAGTGAAAATATTGCAAATGGTTTGGTTTAAGTTATTTGGAGTTAATGAATTACTTTTATCATTTGCTTAGTTTCTTATACTTGAGAAGAAAGATGCTCATCATTGGCCTTTAACAAAAAAAAATGTTTAGGAGTAACACATGGTAGAACGTATATTTTGTGCATTTTCTGAATCTTTGTCTCGCTACTTGAATACTCGCTAAAAGTAGTAATTTGTTCAAATTCGAAGCTAAAAGTCACTACATTTTGAGACGGAGGGGAAAAAAATTATGTTGATGGGTAACATATGGTAGAAAATATTTGTGTATTTTTGGAATCTTTATCTTACTACTTGAATAGTACAAATTAAAATGTTTCCAAAATTAACTTCATATTTTATATCCAACATTTACCTTTATTGATGTCCCAATATTGTCCCACTAGACATGACTAATAAATTATACAACAAACCGAGTCTAATTAACTGGTTTTCTGAAGAAAACATTTTTTTAGTAGGCAGCGCTTTAGTTTTTTTCCTAATTAACTGGTTTTCTGAAGAAAACATTTGGTTTTTGAGGTGGGTGGGGTCAGCATAATTTTTTCTTCACCGAGCGTTTTGATTATTTTTTCCCCCTAACTTTCTTGGTTTTTTCTACTTGGCTGGTTTTTTCGAGGAAACCATTAAGTTTTTTCTTAAGGTGGGTGAGGCGCCCAATTAGTTTTCTTCATTGATTTTTCTGTAAAGACGTGGGCAAAGTGTAGAGCGAAGAGGACGACTCCCTAATAGAGATATCGGGTGAAGCTCCTCTGACATACTCTACGTTAGAGGGATGTGTACCACCGATGTTTAGGTCCATGACGGTGGGTCCCATCTATCAGGGACCCATGTCTCTCTGATTAACTTTATTTTAGAGGAGCTACTTTCAGAGATATCAATCGAAGGGCATAACAATCTCTTGACCTTCTACTTTAAGTCTTTATTATTAGCTAAAGCTATAATTTTTTTTAAGAACACAGGGAGTATATAATAGAGGTTTATCTTTAAAGGAAATTGCTATGCATATGGTCCAATTGTTCAACTCACTTACGATTGAATTTGAGTAACGGTTATAAACGGTTGCAATGCATATTACCATGCTCTACTTTGATTGATTTATATATGTTACTCTCTCCGTCCCATTTTAAGTGCAGCCATAAGTTTCCATGCCCAACGTTTTGACTGTCCGTCTTATTTGAAAAAATATAAAAAAAATTAAAAATTAAGTTATGCATAAATTACTAATCATATTTTATCATCCAATAACAATAAAAATAGTAGTCATAAAAAAAATTTCAAATAAGACGAACGATTAAACGTTGGGAAGTAAAACCCACAACTGCGCTTACTAGGGGAAAGAGGGAGTATGTCTCTAGTTATATATGAATTGTATAAGTGGGTCCTATGTATAGCGGTAATTATCTTTAAAATAATATATTGTACCTAGGAGTTATTCCCTCCGTCCCAAAAAAAAAAGACAAGCCCTAGGTTTCCGTGTCCAACGTTTGACTGTCCGTCTTATATGAAATTTTTTATAATTAGTATTTTCATTGATGTTAGATGATAAAACACGATTAATACTTTATGCGTGACTTGTCTTTTTTAATTTTTTTAAATAAGACGGACGGTCAAACGTTGGATACAGAAATCAGGGTTTATCTTTTTTTTTTGGACGGAGGGAGTCCATAATAACACAATAGTTTGAGGGTGAGGGGATTGAGAAGATTGGGAAGATACGCAAAACGAGGTGAGCCATTAGCGCATGATTAATTGAGTATTAACTATTTTAAATTTTAAAAATGGACTAATATGAATTTTTAAAGTAACTTTCATATAGAAATTTTTTGCAAAAAATACACCGTTTAGTAGTTTAGAAAGTGTGCGCACGGAAAACGAGTGACAATCTTCCCAATCTCTCTCCAATCTCCTTTGAAAAAAGGCAGCCTAATTAATTAAAAAGGATTCCAGGATGGTGAAGCTCAAATGGCTCAAACCGCGTCGCCATCATTTTCGATTATAATATTTCTTCCTGTTGTCGCCGTTGTTGTTATACCCAGTCAAATCCCCCAACCCAAGACCAAGTCTTCTCCTTCCATTCCATTCCCCTTCTTCTCAACCTCAAAGATTTCGCCTTTCTCTCTCTTCTCTCTCTCTTCGTCGCCTTCCTCCTCCTCCTCTGCCCCCCCTCTTCGTCTTCCTGTCGAAATCCCAATCCTTCCAACTCCGCACCTTTGCCTGCCTCCTCCGATCCCTTCCTCCGCCGCCGCTGCTGTACGGGGCGTCGTCACTTCTTTTTATTTAATTCAAAGGTACTGTATTTTTTGTTTCTTGGCGCATTCCTTTCCCTGGAGACGGGGGTTTTGTTGCTTCTTGATGCGAAATTTCAGGTTTTTGATATGGGGGGTAATGCTGTATCAGTTCAGAGGCATGGTAATTTTGCGTCAGTAGGAATACTCACTGTATGTATGTATTATGCCAATTTCCAGTTTCTTTGATCCGGGATCCTGCAGCCGTCTGTGGAGAAGAAGACCCAGTCTGAATCTAATCCTTGTGGAGAGTTGAATTGGGGACCCAAAAAGGGCGGTTTCTTGTGTAGCTGAATTTGGGGTAGGGGAGTTGCTGTCAGTGTGTGAACTGTGAAGGGGGGGTTGGGGGTGGCTGCTTCTGAGAATTTTGATGAATTCTCGCCGATCCAGGTCTGTAAAGCTCGTGTCCACGCGCGCCAAGCCCCTCGAGGTCGAGATCGCCAAGGAGGACGAGCGGATGAGCTCGTCGGCCGACAACACGGTGTACTGCTGCATTGCAAAGGGGAGGAAGATCATCTACTGCTACAACAGCAAGGATGGTGACCCCCATATGGAGACCACCGCCGCGCTCTGCCTCGAGAATGCGCCCTCGTATCACCGGCATTATATCCACACGGCGGGGTCTAGGAGCTATGGCTATCTCATGGCCGATGGGCACACCTTCTTCGCGATCATTGACCCGAGTGTCGGAAATGTGGGTGCCTTGCAGTTCCTGGAGCGTGTGCGCGAAGTGTTCAGAACTGTAAATAGGAGCGGCTTCCATGACTCGCTGGTACCGGCTGTACAGAGGCTGGTGGCTTCGCTGGAGAAGATGCCCCATGCAACATTTGACCTTGAGGAAAGTGTGGAAAAGGGAGAGCCTAGTGACAGCTCTAGCTGCACCTCATCGAAGGTTCCTTTGCTAGGGAGAAGTGGGAGTAGGAAGGATAAGAAGAAGGCTAAGGAGAAGGCAGCGTCAGCTGCGGTTTGCGAGGATGAGCAGCATGGAACTAGGGGAGTGAGAATTGATGTGCCACCAGAGGAGGTTGGTGGCATGTCGCTGGAGCGGAGTGCAAGCCAGTCCAGGCTGCGACGACAGCACTCATCCCGGTCATTGTGGGTGCGCCATGTGAAGATCATCATCGTCGTCGATGCCATCATCTGCATACTGTTGTTTGCTGCTTGGCTAGCCGTTTGTAAGGGTTTCCAGTGTGTGTCTAGCTGAGGAAAAGAAATCCTGGCATGAGTTGTATAGCTATTGGAGAAATGAGAAAGCTTTAATTTGTGGTGAGTTTTGATTTGTTGCTTTTCCGGAAAGGTAAATACTACCAGCCAAGAAAATGATGAATTGAGAGTTGTACCAGCGAAAATAATGCGGGGGGAGGGAGGCTGCAATTACCAAGATACAATATGTTGCTGATGATCAGATGGTGAAAATGGAGGCTCAATGCTGTAAACATGTAGATAGATATGCTTCTCCTCTTGTACATGGCAATTCGAATGTACATACGCTTCACCCCTTGTACATGAATACATGATAATGTGATAGGATTATTAAAAGATTTCATCTGTTCGTGATACACCTGTACTAAGTTTGTCTTGTGGTCATATATGGTTCCACTGCTGACAGTTTTTTTGCACTTGGTCTTTATGCATATCTCTTTCTTATTGTTGCCTCCCATGGCCTTTCTGCATGTTTCTGCTCCCAGGAAAAAAACAATATGTTGTGATGAAAATACTGTAATGAAATGCTTAATAAGGAGTTTATTTCAGAGCGTAATGAAAGAAAGTTTCTTTTTTTCCCCGGGGCAAATAATATTCTTTTATGAGACTACACTGTTAAGATTAGTTCTGCACCCCTGTGAAAATAGAAAGGTTCTGCACAGATGTTCATGAATTTCTCTGCAACTTGTATTTTTTTTGGGGGGTGAGGAATCATTCTGATGTTCTTCCATGAGATATTGATGTGTTTGATACTGTTGGTAAGTTCTTTAAGTGGTCATGTATGGTGTTTGGGCTCTATGCTGAGTAGAATATGCAAGAACTGATACAAACAAATAGCATAGCAAGGAGGAAGCGGAAGCTGTCACTTTCCTGAAGTTTGTGTGTAAGTGAACCTTCTGCTTGAGAAACCGTCCAGGTAGCTTGTGATTGTGCTGGTTAGTAGATAGTATCCAGTGGAGATTGATCAGTGAGTAGACTGAAACTGGCTATTTCTGAAACATAGGTTGCATCCTAGTACAAAACAACTGAGCTGCCAGCCATTGTAGCAGAGATCGCAGGAATTGATACCCCTTGGAAATTACCAGCTTAAATCTGGGTTGATCTCAATGTTACAGAGAGATTGTTGAAGCATTACTCGTGGGCAATAAGCAGTTGCAAGCAAAAGAGCTTCTGAAAAACTCATGCTAGAGAGAGAGAGAGAGAAATCTCCCATCATGTAGCTCCAGAATGTCATCTTTACACAACTAATTCGATATAAGAAGAAGAATAAAGTCTAGTTACAACTCCATAGCTACCGGCAGCATCAAACAGCCCTGGATTTTTTTTTTGACTAAAAACAGCCCTGGATTTCGCAGTAGGACGATACTTTTCAGGGATAGAATTTATATGTTGGTCGTATTTGCCACTTGAAACCAGAAAAACCAGCGACTCAGCCGTGGAAGCTTCAAGGGAGAAGTTATTTTCATCAATTTTGGAGAGATAAACCCCAGCCTTGCGTACCTCCCCTTTCTGTGGTAACTTTCCAACTAAAGCATTTAGCATTCGGGAGTCAGCTGTACAACCATTCTTCTCCAAAGAAAGAAATAAATCATCCAACTCTTCTAGCAACCCTTGTTCTATCAAACTTTTCATCATTAACCAGTAGGTCACAACATTCGGCACTAAACCTCTAGCCAAGAGAGAAGCAAACAGATCCTTAGCTTCATCATGCCTGCCACCTTTAAGTAACGCATCAATCATAATGTTAAAAGTCCTATTCTGAAGGTGGAAATCAATCAAGCATAGGTTGTGAAACATTCGGAGGGCATCATCAGTGCAATTGTTTTGGCAAAGTCCTTGAAGGATTATGTTGTACGTTCCAATAGGAAGCTTAATCCCACATTTAATCATCCAGAGATAGAGTTCTTTTGCGGCTGCAATTCTTCTAGTCTGAAACAGCCCGTGGAGGATTGTGCTATAGATAACAATGCCAGGATTAACACCCTTGCTTGCCATCTGTCTGAAAAGAGAACATGCATCCTCTATCCTACCGTTCTTACAGTAACCATTAATAATGGTATTATAGGTAACTTCATTAGGTTTCACCCCATCTAACACCATACCTTCAAGTAACTTTGTTGCTTCATCCACCTTACCATCTAAGCAATATCCATCTATGAGTGTGGTGTATGTAATGACATCACACTGCACATCTACGCGTACCATCAAATCAAAGATGTTTTTGGCTCTTGTAACCATTCCTTCTTTGCATAGGTGGTTCAACAATGTGTTGAAGAAAATGGTGTTGGGACAGATGCCTCGACCGATCATTTCAACAGCCAACTCCTCAGCCTTGTCCCATTTATCACAGGCACAGAGGCCATGAATTAAGGTTCTAAAAACAACACCATTAGGAGTTAGTCCTTCAGAGATGAGCCTGTCGAATTGGGACATAGCATCATCCACTTTGCCTACCCTGCAAAGCGCGTCCATTACTGTTCCATAGGTGACTATATTAGGGTGCAATCCTTGCTGCCTCATTTTGCTAAATGCAAGCATGGCCTCATCTACCATTCCATGTTTAGCGTATGCGCCTATTAATATGTTAAAGATGTAGTGATCAGGTTGCGTACCGTTTCGTACCATCACATCCAAGAGTTGGTGCATCTGAACAAGATATCCTTCAGTAGCATACCCATGAAGCAGAGTACCGTATATAGAACTGTCAGGCTTGTGGCCCTTCTTGACCATAGAATCAAAAACTTTTCTAGCTTCCATGGATCTTCCATTCTTGCAGAGATAGACCATGAGCGTGTTATAAGTGACGACATCCGGTTCAACACCATCTCTGCACATCTTTCTGAAAATCCCAATGGCCTCTTTGGGCTTTCCTGATGAGCAATATCCATGCAAAAGACAATTATACGTGATGCAATTAGGCGACATCCCCTGATCCAACATTTCATCAAACAGGCAATAAGCTTTGTCCAGCTGACCCTCTCTAAGCAAGCCGTTGATGACTGTGGTGTATGAAACCACGTCGGGTGGGCATCCTCCTCTAGTATCATCAGCCATCATCGTATGGAGTAGGTGGAGAGCTTGTTGACTCCTGTTTTCATCGCAGAGGCCCTTGAGAAGGATGTTGTAGGAGAATGCATTCGGCGTGCAACCCAGGGCAGGCATTCGTCGCAGCGCAATGTCCATTGCATCGCTGGTCCTCTTGTCATGGCAGAGGCCCTTGAGCAGAGGACTGAAGGTGATTGCTTGCGCCGTCCATCCAGTCCTAATGACACGGCCGAGGGCGGCGAAAGCGAGGTCCAAGTGGCCGGCGCGGCTGCAGCAGCCAATGACGATGCTGTACGTGCATAAGTCGGCTCGGGGCATGCGGTTGAAGAGGGAGAGAGCGACGGCGGGGCTTTCACGGGCGACGGCGGAGAGGGCGCTGTTCAGGTCGAAGATGGAGGTGGTGTCTCGGCGAAGCAATTCGTCGAACAGGTGGTGAGCGTGCTCCCTACCAGCTCGTCCACCACCACCAGCTTCCTGTTGCTGTTGATGTTGCCGAGGAAGACCCTGATTCTGCTGCTGCTTCTTTGTGCGCGAGACGCCGGCGTCGGGTCGCCCAAGGCCGGTGACGCGGACACGGCGTGACGACATGGCCGGCCTGGACTTGCTTGAGAGAGGGCTCCCTCCCTCCCTCCCTCCCGTGCGGGCTTGGTGGGGTTGGGAGGAAGGCGACCGCTCGTCAGGTTGGAGCGTCTTTGTACCCCGCCGCCGCTGCCGCCGCCGCTGCCGCTGCCGGCGCCGGCGCCGGCGGAGGAATCTGGGTGGGCAGTGACCAGTGAGCGCATTAGGAGGAAGAAGAATAATTAAAAAAAAACTGTTTCTTTTTTATATGGGCCTCCGCAGAGGCTAGAATGGCCCATGTTTATTGGACCAAAAGGAAATAAGTCTATTGGCTATTGCTCTCCAGGGACAACATATATTGTTCAGAATTTTTTTGGTTGGTTCATCTTGTTTGCCATCAGATTCATTTGAGGTTTTTCTATGCCTTGACGATGGCTAGGGAGGATTAGTTCCATTTCAGCCAAGCGATTATAGTTTTTTTTTCTCCTGTGCTTCATGTAAAATTTAATTATTCTGTTTGTTTCTTTACAGTAAACTATGAGATCATGAGGAGTGGCATGCCTAAGTTGACTCTCTTGAGCTTGATATGATGTCCTGAACATGCATGTTCATTGTTCAGGTGAGCAAAATTATACTTTAATGCACCAGTTTTGGAATCCAATCTCAAAGAAACTTGAAAACCCTGGTTGTTACTTCACTAAACAAATGTACCTATTTAAGGCATGAAGATTAACATCTTGACTTCAAATCAATGATGGGTCATTGTCATTGACAATCACATGGTCCACAGAGGCCATGGTGTCTTCGATCCGCCATGATTTCCAACATGTCAAGGGCCCCTTTGAATCAAAGGATTTATATAGGAATTTCATAGAATTTAAATTCTATAGGAAATTTTCCTATTTGGCTCTTTGATTCAAAGGATTGAAGCTTTCCAAATCCTATGAAATTCCTATGGAATGACACATTGCATGTGAATTTTGGAGGAAATTTAGCAAGAACTCCAACCTCTTAGAAAATTTTCTTTGAGTCTATCTTTCTCATTTGATTCCTACGTTTTTTCCTGCGCTCCAATCAAACGACAATTCCTATATTTTTCCTGTGTTTTGTAATCCTCTGTTTTACACTTCAATTCCTGTCAGAATCATGTGTTTTTCCTATCCCTCTATTTTTTCAACCCTGCGATTCAAAGGGGCCCTAAGCTTTGTCATCTCATCTGAAATCTGAACTTCTTTATCTCTGCATTTGCTTCTGATGGTTTAAACTTGGGTTTGGCACTGGATGATCTGGTCCTTGATCATTTGGTCATCAGGTACTTGAAATTTTGCACATTTGGTACTGAATGTAGACTCAAAATAAGCTCTATATCTATGTTTGAAACTACCCAGTCCTAAAAGTGATATAGAGCCTATTTTGAGTGCTTTTAGAAATTAAGATGGTTCTTTCGGTATAAGGTGATGTCATCAGAATTGTTTCATGAAGTACTTGCAAAGCTATTTATCAATTCAATCTTATGCTTATTGTAATCCAACAATCTTTTAATCATCGAAATGACCCTGGAAATATTATCCTTTTTTTAAGTGCTAGTATTGAAGCAGGCGATATATATCCTTAACTTTATAATTGGATTATCTCAACAAGGCAGGCCTGCAGCTGGCCTTATCTTTAGTTGTTTACTACAGCTTGGTTGGAGGTTGGCCAAATAGAGTTGTTGCTTTCACGATTATTGTGCCATTGCCTTCAAGGTATCGATGAATGCTGACACTATAATGTTTGCTGAATTTTCTTACGGTGCCCATATTCTTTTTTTTTGCCGGATCGGCGGAAGGACGCCGACCAAATTTCATCAAGATAAAAGAGAGTTAAAAAATTATACACGACATTAAACTACCGAGTCGGGGAAGACACCGAAAAGAAAAAGGAGAATAAACTATATATTTACAGGGAGCTAGAGACCAAGCTGCTACTCCTCACTATCAAAAATACCGGCCGCTCTCCAGATCGATACTTCTTCTTTGATGTCAGCCACCAAAAGTTCGACCACTCTCGATGAATCCTCAAATATCCTAGCATTCTCTCTTTCCAAACTTTCCAGCAGACCAGCATGAAAAAAGAGCCGAAAGCGGTCCTGTGTCTCGTCCGAAAACATCCACGCACCTGCTGCCACCAATCTGGAAGGTCTAAGCCGAGTTGATCAGGGAGAAGAAACGCCACTTTCATCCAAGTTCTCAACTGCTGCCACACTCTATTGGTGAAACGGTGCCCATATTCTGCATGTGACATTGAATCAATATATTGCAGGGGCTCAGATTGGCGAGGTACATCGAAACAATTCAACAAGGATGATATAACAACTTACAATATTTCTTGTTTCCTGCTTCCTATCTATGATATTCGGATGCTGATTAAATCAGTTGTTTGACAAGAATTATCAAGTCACCAAGGTGCTTTGCAATGTCAAATGTCAGATGTCTAAAAGTCTCAGGTAATAAATAACTTGAGCTGTACATCGAATTATATATCCTCATTGGATAAAAAATGCAGCAAATATGCATGTCTAAATTTTTCTATTCGGTGCCGTATTCAGTAGTGGTTTTGGTGGCATATGATCTTAAAAGGCCCCCGTAATAATACGACACTCATATGGGGCACCATGGTGCCCGGGCACCATGGTATGAAATACACAAATTCGCCCAAATTTTTCAAAATTTTCAAATTGTGAGTATATACCTACTTATAAGTATTCGATTCATACCTATACCTAGCAACAAAACAACTCAAATTTAACTTTATTTTATAATCCATTATTACATACCTAACTAATTATATGTTTGGATGCTATATACCTAGAATCAAAATCTAACAAAAGCAAGTTTGAATTCAGTTCAAACTTGCTTTGAACTAGTTAGTAAAGTAGTTAACGTTAATACCTAAATATTTGAAAAAGTTTCATACTCATTTGAATTAGGTATATAGTAAATTTCAATCATGGTGCCCGGGCACCATGGAGCACCAAACAAATTTACTATATATATATATATATATATATATATATATATATATATATATATATATATATATATATATATATATATATATATATATATATATATATATATTGCATTGATGTCAGAAATCATTGTCGATTCTCACAGATAATAGGCAACAAAGGGAATTAACTGAGTGACCCATATAACAACGTTACATGTCCTTCAGTTATTGGATCAACCACAGTAAGGTTAACAATATTGACCATAAAAGAGGAATTTCGCTTAAGTTCTTAAAGAATATCTGAATCACATCATAATTCATAAGGAATATACTATTTGTTAACCTTCTAATTACCTTTGGTTGATCATGATGCCTGATTCACTACATAATATTTGGAGTGTTTTTAATGCCAATTCATATACTGCTCCGCTATCACTATTTCAGTAGTGTATATACTGTTAATCTAAATAATTTCATTTTGCAACTTAATTCTATATATATCTCTACATGAGGACTTTGCAAAGCAACATCTAAGGGACCTACAATGAGTTGTTGCTTGGGTAAGGAGTTTCAGCATCAAAATTCATAATATGTGCACCGCAGGTTTGAGGTTCAAATATCTGACCAAAGTATTGCCCATTCAGTTCCAGAATGGCACACGGTAACAGGTAACGGAACACACTGTCGTGGTTCCATAGCGGTTGCATGCAAAGCGCAAGCAGCTTATGAAGCCACGTCTTGTTTCATCAGAGGTGAGATTGAGCTAAAGATGATGAATTTAGCAACTTCAGAAGCTGGTGAACTGAACTTACTAGCAAATGCTTAATTTAGAAACCTGACAAGATCTCAGGAACTAACACAAGAAAATCCGGTCTTTACACACGGACGTCGAGTGTTCAGTGAGCAGGGCGTTGCAGAGCTACCAGGGCTACTTCAGCATGAGGAATCAGTCAACCAACAACGTCAGCAGCAAGCACAGGCTAAAAATGAGACTGTTAATCTAATTAAATGAAAAAATCAGTTCATGTTATGTCATTTATTTAGTGTAGTTATAGTTTGTCCTTGTGTATGCTTATATTGCCATCGGCCAATCTATGCCATTAGGATATGCATGTAAGAACTCAGAAGCGGTGTGCGACTGTTTGTTATCAATTGAAAATCGCTTGATTTTTTCTCACAAAATAACATATGATAGATAAATGGTCTCCGATTTTTTTCAGCCCCTGTAACTTGTAATATTTGTGAAATAATGAATGGATACTTGAAAAGTGATGTTTGACATTGGTTCCGCGTAAATGGATTGGAGTTCAAGTTTAGAAATAGTTCTGTTCAAATCGAAGACTCCAACGTGTTTGATCAATTTAAAATAATCTCAACTTTTTTTAGAGCTATATGGAATAATCACGTACGTATATTTTTTTGTTAGTACCAACACTGAATACTCTTTCCAAATTAACTCCATTCAATAGTATCGACGTGCTTTACACGTGCACGCTCATTAGTTAGATATTACAAAAGAGGGCCTAGATTTGGAAACCTTTTCTAAGGACTCGACGTACGTGTTGAGAAACATGAACACAAAAATACTTGCAGCCTTGCAAGGCGCCAATGTACACAGTTGAGAACAAGAAAAAGAAAAAGATTGGCTCCACTACACAGTGCACATTGTTGGAGAACAGGGAAAATAAGAGATACATGTCTAATGAAGGCGTTAACATGTGCCTCACAGCCATATAAATTCTCTACCGCATGGCATAGCATAGGGTCCATTTTGTTTCATCACTACCTAGTTGAAATGAAGTGATAAACCATAAATGGAATGTGAATTTTGCAGCAATAATTTCGATGATAGAGGAAGCAGTAACTGACAAGATTGGACAGTGGCACCAACATATCAAAAAGGCTTTATTCATTTAACTGACTACAAAGGCCAAGACATTACGGTCTTCAAAGGTACAAGCTTGATGAGACCACTTTGGTAAATAATGAGTTACCAGAACAGGTTCAATGAAATCATCATTGAGAGCAAAGATAGTCTCAAGCATATAGTAGCCAGTCTTGATTGAAGAATGGCTTCTGGTGCCCACTGTACAAGATAGTAAAAAAAAAGTGAATATAAGGAGGCAATTTTGCAATCAGATTAACTGTAACGATCAAGTGCACTTAGCTATGTATATTCACAATACTTCAACAATACAAGTCAGATTGTTACGATTACAAATACACAAGAATGGTAGAAGGATATTTCCATTATGAACAAATGAAATGCTAACAAACTTTGGTAAAATCGGCAGCGCAAACATCAATGCTAACAAGAAAGTCATGAAAGTTCATGAACAGCAGTTGCAAGGGAAAAAGACACAACTCAAAAGGAAAACCCTGTCTTCTATTTTGGCTTAATAATGGCCTCTCTCCTTTTCAACACACTGAAAACTAGTAACCAGAGATGAAGATAAAGGAATGGTGCATACGCTAGCGATTGATAATCACTTTGAAACTGACAATTTTTTCATCAAAATATTTCAGTGACTTTATTTAGCATTGTAAAACATGGTAGTCATACAGCACAAAGTTTTTTATGCTCTAATCAAGTATAACAAGAATTACTGTGTAGTCTGGAAGGAACTAAAAGATTCGGTATAAAGAGTCAAAAGTAGTTCTTGAAATAAATAAAGAAAAAGAGACTATGTCGGAGAGAGTGGTGGCATATAGAGATAAGCACTGTGTAGTCTGTGTGTGAGGGAGAGTGATGTCAGAGAGGGAGTGGTGGCTGGTGACACAACCTGTCTAAGTTAATGTGGGGGGAACATGATGCCCAAGTGGTAAAACCATGGACCAGTGCAGGAAATGGTAGAGCCTTGCGTTGCATCCCTCCTCTCTCAAAATTGAGGTGAGAAAGGGAGTATCCAATGGATGGGTCGCTCAGGTTTGATTGGACTCGTCGGAAAAAGATAGGGATGAATAAGGCATGCTAATTTTGTGTAAATTCAACAGTCTACAAGATCACATATTTTAAAATATGAAATTTTGGAGTAGGACAATTTTAACAATCTCACAATGACATCTCTCTAAGTAGCATATTTGGAGTGATATGTATCTTATCATTCTTATTTTTTTAAGGGGAATATTCATTTCGAATTTTCGATAGCTTATTTTGAAGTTGGCAATGCCCATGTTAAGTTAGCAGTTATGTGTATCTTATCCACCATAAGATAAGGAACATATTAGGGTCACGGCACTTGTTTCTAAATGAAACCATACTAAGTTGAGAAATTCTGATGAGTAAAACTGAAATAACTTCAACACAAATGTTAGTTAATTATAAATTTTCAGTGAGCTAAACATTTCATATGAGATCTTTAGAGTGCTGTGCACAGAAACATTGAATCTAAATACAGTTAGTATTCTACAAGGCAAATGGATTTTAGCCTGATTAGGCCAATGCGTCTTCTCCTTTAATCATTCCATTTCTTTGTACAGATCAAAAGATTCTAATGAAAAATTTCCACAATATAAAAAAAAAAAGGTTTGACAAGCCCAGACATGTACCATGAATTAGATCAAAACAAAGAAAGAATGTAATACATTATATCCAATGAACATTTCCAGGCACAAACAGAAGAGCCTCTCTTATGGGCAAAAAGAAAGAATGCAATACATTATATCCAATGAACATTTGCAGGCACAAACAGAAGAGCCTCTCTTATGGGGCATTACGTCAAACAGCTAACGCGCAAGGAGAAACAGCTAAGGCTTGAGGAAGTTACCTGGTGAGTCTAGTGGCCCGCAGTGGGCGTGGGCGTGGGCGTGGCAGCGGCGGGCGGGCGGTGGGAGACGACGAGGGGTGGCCTGGGCGCGCGGCGGTCGTCCTCGGCCTGCCTCCGCGCGGCGTACATCTCCTGGGTCTCGACGACGACGAGGCGCTTGACCTGGGTGAGCATGCCGAGGAGGGAAGGGGTGGTGCGGTGCTCGACGGTGCGGTGGCAGCGGCGGAGGCGCATGGCCTCGAGCGTGCGGCGGTGGAGGCGGCGCGTCCCCGGGAGGCCCCGCACCAGCGTGATGTACAGCTTGGGGCTCCACGCCACCGCCACCCGCGACTTGAACGCGTTGAACGCGCTCCCGCTCATCCTCTCACTCTCTCTCCCCCGTGCGGCGGCGGCGGCGGTGGCCGGAACCCTAGACCCGTGGAGGAGAAAGCCAGCGCCGGAGAGGACTTCGCTGGAGGTAAAAAGGAAGGGTCGCTAATTGGGTTTGTGGGTTGGGCTGCCTCCTATAATAGGCCCTTCGATTCGATGGGCCCATATGTAAACTGAGATTTGCAAGGCAGCCCACCGTAGTTTTCTCTTTTAATCTCCTATTTATTATCCTAAAATAAATTTATTTTTTCAGCAATTGTTGCATCAAAGTTTGTGAAGATATGGTATAAATATATTAAGAGTAAATTAAATAATAGATGATTTGTCGACAGGCTATACCAGGACATGACTTAGAGTAAATAAAATAAATAAATACACCAAGCATTGGGATTTCACAGTTTTCTAGGTGAAAACTTTTAAATGTAACTATAGTATAATTGGGGTGTTATTATATTATAATCACTAATCCCTCCTTCCCAAATTGATCGTCGCATAAGAAAATATAGTATAATTGAAGTGTCATTATATTATAATGCAGTATGTCTCGTGATTTTCACGGTAACCGCGCCAAAAACGATAAGGGGAACTGTAAGCAACTCCGAAAATTGGTCTACCATTACTAGTCACTTCCTTCGTTGTATACAAACAAAAATAACTTCTCGCTTTGAACAAAATGGGTATCCTGCTCCATAATATTGACAGTTAAGTTCAGTCTACTTCCATCGGAAGCAATCATACTTTAACTACACAATACTTATAATTGAAGGACATAACATCCATAAGAACATGCATATATAATGGCAAATGCATTATTTATACCTAGAGTAATGTACTATACATACATACAACTGCCTACTTGTCATGCTGCAGCTTGTCCAGCAGGAACGTCATTTCAATTCGTTTCGAAAGAACAAGTTTGGAGAGAGACAATTAGATCATCATTCTTGCATGATTAATTTCAGACTTTAGCAGAGTTTGTATACTCTATGACAATAACAAGGTTGAACTTTTCAAATTGCAGCATTCTTTAAACTATACTTATACCTTCGTTCTAGAATATAAGGATTTTTAGAGTTATAAATAATTATTAAGAAAAGTACATAGAATTAAATATAAGAAGTTTATGATTAGAAGTGAACGGATATGAGAAAATTGAATGGTGAAGGGTTATGATTGGTTGAGAAGAAAATGTTGGTGACAAAAGTTGCTATATTTTGTATTTTAAGGCAGAGGAATCAAGCAGTACTATTCATTGCTTTGGTGACGCCGATGAACCATGGAGCAGGAATGAATGTTCATCATTTTTATTTTATAAAAATAGCTTCATAGTTTGCATGAAATCGCTAGTATGATATTTTCTTCCAACACACATTTGCCTACTGATAACAGCATAAATCATGTAAAGCTAGCCAGCCAGGACACATGCCCCATTCAGGCATGGAGTTTTCTGTAGATATAAGCATTTAATTGAGTAATTATTAATCACTGATGTACTTTAGGTCAAATAAACGTCACATGTGTGTGTGATTAGTACATCCCTCTTAATTTTAAACTTTACTTAATTCACATGCGGAACATGCCTCCGTTGCATCACTAGCATGCATAACCACGACAATTAAGCATTAAACAAAGTGGTTAAAAGCTGCTTCTCCTTTTTGCATGGGTTTGCAGGAGTAGAATACGCAGATATTCTCCGGTGCAGACAGGTACAAATTATCATCATCAAGATCAATCCATCTTTCTGCTTGATGCATATGCAGAGCATAATTCTCTTGTCTCTAGCTACCTGCTTGTTCATTCATCTCACTTCTTTTGCAGAGAGGAAAAAAAAGGGCAGAAAATGACATGCACTTCCCTGTTTGACAGGGAATGAAAGCTGCACCAAGTGGCAGTGATCTATAGATTCTTTGTACTAGTAATTCCCTCTTTAATTAATTATACTCTAATTGATTGGAATTCTTGAGATCTGGAGTCCTCAATTTCAGATGGCTAGTTGTTGGATTGTTTTATTTTCATTTGGTAGTATAATAGGCTGGGAAAGAAAATTTTGAACTGAAATTCTGAATTATTTTAGTATACTAGTTACAATAGGATTGGACGGTTTGTGTGTTGTTTACCATCTTCAGTTGCAACATATGTAAATGGCAGTTTGGTACCGGACTGACTGATTAGCACAGGAAGTGCTGATTAGGCAAACAGTCAACTAATAATCTCAGCCCATCCGATCATTAACTTCAGAATTTATTAAATGAATCTTATGAGCAGATGAAAGCAACAGACAGGCAACTATCAGGAAAGGAATGGGAAGCTAGAAAGGAGCTGCATTAATACATGATAATGACAGATAAAGATGCATACAGCACTAATCTTGATACTGATTCTTTTTTCTCATTAAAATCAGAAATAACAAAAGGGAGATTACAAAGGGAAGGCTATTTAATAAAAGTGGATTTAAAAGCTGCTGAATCAAGCATGCACTTCAGCAATTTAAATTACACGGGAAACGTGTTGCAGAGAATGATTCTGTTGCAGATTAAACTGTGATCAATGATTCATGGGTGGGCTTAGTGGCTGGCAAATCCCTCCAGTAGGGATCACTCTGTCTCCTAAGCAGGAAGAAGTTGAGGATTTCAGTTTTCATGTGCATGGATCTTGATGAGCTGGCCCTCTCATCATCATCCCTTGTCTTTGTCACAGATAGCTGGGATTTGTGGTTTGCTTCTTGATGATGAACACATGCATTCTCTTATGCTCTCTCATCAGGATTTCAGAGGAATAAAAGGAAAAAAAAGGCAAAAGGCAGAAAGTAATTGCAAACATAACCAACTTAATTGCTACTCTCACATGTCAAAAATATTTGACGTATATGGCACGATTTTTGTCAAACTTTTGAAACTTTAGCCATTAATAGCATCCCAAATGCTTAGTTTGAAATTAAAAGCAAATGGTATGGGCAAATTTGCCTTGAAAAGTACTATAATATATAATACCATAAACTTATTGAATTTTCTAAACATATTTTTATATAAAAATTGATGCTAAAATTTAAAAATGTTTAACTAAATCTAGTCCTAAACATCAAATATTCTTGGCAATATCTAAGTATCTAGCCATAGTAGAATGCCATATATTATGTTACACAGATCAGTAAACATACCACAAGATGATGCATGCATTGTTGCTTACATTACTGAATATTACAATTGCGTAGCTTAACTAATTTGATTGGTAATTAAGCACCTGACTGACCATCACAAACTCATGTTTTCTCCACCGATCAGGCCATTACAAGTCGATGGAATTAGGTCATGACAAGGTTAGTGTAATAGTGTGGGTTGTTAGTAGTTGGAGCGTCTGGTGCGGCGATGTGTTGAGCTCTAGTTGTTCGTCGTTGCAACCTGCAAGTAGAGCTAGTGCAAGCTGCTCCCCTATCACTCCTGGACTACTACTTCACTCCTACTAATCCTGTCATTTTCATAATCAATAGGTAAGCTGTTAATTTTGACATAATTTGGGTCGTCTCAGCTCAGTACAAACTACAAAGTGATGATGCCATTGACCCAGAATTAGATTGATTGGAACAAATTAGGCGACAAGAACTGTTAACTTAAGAGAGATTAGGTCCCGTTCTTTTCATAATTAACATACAAAATTTATCTTTCCGTTAACACGCTTTTCAAACTGCTAAATGATATATTTCGTGTGAAAACTTTTTATATAAAAGTTACTTTAAAATATTAGATAATTTTATTTTTTGAGTTTATGATAATTAACCCAATTAATTATGTTCTAATGTTTTTTTCCTTGTCCTAACTTCATTCTTATTTGTCCTAACTTCATTCTGTCTGTTTGGTACAATGGTACACCTATCAAACTGATTAAGGATTTAATAAATTTATGCTCTTCTTTTGTCTCTGATAGAATAATTAAGGCTAGCTTTGTGCTAATGTACAAGCCTGTAAGACGTGCCGTGACAGCTGCGCTCATATCGTCGTTGTCAAATAATACCAATTCAGATATATATTCAACTGCCGTCCCTGGTGGTTTAAGCTTACCTCTCAACATCATTGCCATAGCATGGTACTATACAATCCTAAATGAAGCTTCATCCATGCCGTGTTGCTATCTCATGATCAGTTTATCACCTGCTAACTACTCCCTCTTGTAAAAAAAATATGTGTGTTTTTAGGCACCTTTCTTCTCAAATATTGATATAATACTGGCAATTGCCGTGATCTTTTTAAAAACTACTCCATGTGTGTTTTTCTGAATTTGTGGGTTTCTACAACGGTTTTACTCCTAAATTCCCTTACTTATCACTAAGCATAATTTTACACTACGCATAGGCTAAATTTGCACAAAATATAGGCTAAACCATGGCAGGCAATGCAACTATTAATTTGGGTTTGTTTTTCCATCATTGAAACAATACTTCTTTTTGGGGTTATGACTTATAAGCGGCAATAATTTTGTTTTGGATACTGAATTAGTGATTTTAAAAACGATTAACGATAAGAAAACCGAAATCACTTGCTTACTTTTTAAGACACTCCACTTGCTTGAAAATAATTTTACCCCATCGAAGTCAACACACACTTTTTATTTTTTTTTCAGCATGCACGGTGTACTCCCTAACACGTGAGGAAAAGCACACTAGTGTGCTAGTACTAGCAGTAATATTCAGGCCTTCACTTTCGTTATATCACTATCATATCAAAACGGTGCAATAAAGAATCAAGAAAGGACATGGGGCAAATGAAATTACTCCAACAGTGCTTTCTTTTCCGTTCATCACCAGTTTGATGCTATTTTTCGCAATTCATAGGTAAAAAAGATGACAATCATTAATTCCTTTGCCCTAATAGGAGGGAGAGGAAATTTTGGCCCTCAAAAGCTAGACAAACACCTAGGGGTTGTTTGGGAGAGAGGGGCTAAAATATAAGTCCCTAGGGGAGGGACTTATACTTTTGTGAGAGGGACTAAAATTTAAGTCCCTAGTTCCCAAACCCCCCCTAATCTTTCATCAAAACAAATTGGGAGTAATCTGCATGCTTATAAAACAAGAAAAAGGCAGGGCCTTTGGATCTGAAAAAGGTAGACCAGAATATCCACATGGGTGAAAAGAAAACCAGGTGAAAGAGAATTGAAGAACCCTAAGGTCCCTACCACAATATGCTTGCAATTGTATATATATATAGAAAGAGATTAGAGTATTGCAAGGAAAAAAAAAGGAAGAAGAATCGAAGAACCTTGCTTTCGTTTGCATGCTTCCCAAACTTCTAGACGATGTACTTCGTGCAAAATACTTTCTATATAAAATTTTCTTAGAATATTTTCTGAAGTAGGAGTAAGTTTTAACTTTGTAATAATTATAATAGTTTATCTTTTACACCCTTAAATAGCTATAACAAAAATAAGATTATCTTATGGATTCATCCAATAGGGTCTAAAGTCCCTACCACAATATGGTTGCAATTATATATACAGAAAAATAATTATTGCAGGGAGAGGGAGGAATTGGAAAGGGAAGGAAAGGAAGCTGCCATTTTATCTTTATCTGAAGAAAGGAGGAGGACAGGGTGGTGGTCAACAGGGCAGACCAAACCAGACAAACAAGAGAAAGAGAAACTCTGAATTCTGAAACTGAAGAGAGAAAAAGAAAAAAGAGGTGTACTACAAGACTACAAGTCTACACAACACACACCAGCAAAAGAGACAGCATTTCCCAAGAAACCGCCCTAAAGCTTTTCCAAAGATTTCTCATTTGTTTTTCTTTTCCTCCTGCGAATTTTTCTGCTCCAGATGAGCAAGAGAAGTTAATGGTTTTGGCGAGATTTGCGTGGGAAATGACTAGGAGTAGGTGTTAGGACCACTCATAAATTCTGCCTGTTCTTTTTCAGATCTGCGCTCCGTGCTTTTGCTTCGCCAAACGAAAAGAAAATTCTGTCCACCCAGGACACTGTCTTCTCTCTCTCTCTCTCTCTCTCTCTCTGCTTCGAGTTCGTCGATTCGGTTCAAATCACTCGTCTCGTAGTCATAGATAGATGGCTCGTCTCCTCAATCCAATCTTGCCGCTCTCCGGGCTCACAGTTTCTTGATTTCCCCATTCTTTTTTCGTTTCCAAAGTTTTTTTCTTCTTTTTTGTTGTTCTTTGTGTTGATTTCTTCCTCTGCGAGTCCACTCCCAGTCCAGGGTCAGAAGCTTGCTGTTGAATTCCACACTGTTGAAGCACAACTCGAGTTTTTCTCATCAAATTTCATCTTTTCTTCTGTTCTTTTCCCTCTCTCTCTTTTTGTTTTGGCTTAAATCTTACTAGAGTTCATCACAGCTTCCCACACTCGTTTTCCCGTCTCGATTTCATCAGCTGAGGTCGGCACTTGCTCATCTTTGCCGATTTGTTTCTTCTCGAGAGCCTACAAAAATTCTCCCTCTCTTGATTTCCACAAGCTTGTTTGATATTTGCTCGTCCCAAAATGGGGAACGCGTTCCGGTGCATGTCGCGCAAGGAGCACCGCGGCGGCGGCGGCGCGGCGGTGTCGCGGAGCAAGCGGATGGGGAGCGCGCGGTCGGGGCGCGGCGGTGGCGGCGGGAAGCTGACGCCCGCGGAGGAGGAGCTCCTGCACCGGCAGGCGCTGGCCATGGCCATCCACCAGCACCTCGACGCCGGCGGCTCCATGTCGCGCCGCATCGACGCCGGCGGCTCCATGTCCCGCCGCATCGGCCCTGGCTCCACCAGCTCACGCCGCCGCGGCGACCTCCCGGACTCCGTCACCGGTGCCAAGCCCGTAAGATTCTCTCACCTCACCTCATCACCTTCCCCTTTCTGCTGCTTCTGTCTTTACAAGTTCATACCAAATGGTACCGTAGAATTGTGCAGTTGTGCTGTGTATTACTGTATTTTGTGTTGAGTATATTGATGCAAAACTTTTGTGATTCATTAGTATTTGGCCAGTTGAAGGGCATATTGCCTAATTTTGCGGCTGTCAATAGTTCTTGCAGGACCAGTTCATCATTTGGCCCTAATGATTGTCATTTAGTAGCATCTTTCGTCTTGTCGTCATACATTTTGTTGTTTAAGGTGTTTGGTCGGTACTTGGAAGCTTCCTGTTTTTATGATCATCTTGTTAGTGCTATGTTTCGAAGTTCCTTGCATTTTCAGTTGGCATTTCGACGATGCCTTGACTGCAACATTGTCCTCAAATTAGCCGATTTGCTCTGTTCTTTAATGTCTGGCTGCTCTAGTTTAACTAGTTGGGCTTATTTTGTTGTTAGTGTAGGATTGTCTGTGACTGCGGATAATTCAATGAGTTGGGTTGATTTATATTTTTTTCTGATGTTAATTGAACAATGTCTTCCTTTGTACACCGGAAATTTCTGAGATATTTCTTCGTAGTCTCTTTGTTTAGACTTTAGATAGATTTTGATATACAATCAGTAGGCATTTCATATCTATAATTCTATATATAGTTGAATATTCGCTCTTGATGTTATGAAATAAGTTAAAAGCGGTTTTGCGAGGTTCTGAGAGTATGAGATATGTTGAAGCAGGTCTGCAGGTGTAACCATTCATACCCAGTGAGTACAAGTTGGTTTCTAAATAAGATTTGTTGACGGGAATATCAACAGCAAAGCGTATTGCTGTTTCAGTCCATGATTTCTGTTGCTTCATGATTAATTCCATTACCCAACTACCTGTTGATACTTTTGAGCTCTCTCCAATTTTCTGAAATCTTCAACTCTGTGTTGGAAAGGCATCTTTGTGTACAGCTGGTGATTGACACATAAGACAAGGATATGTAGTATCTTGAAGAAACTTGTATGCTATTAGGACTACAAGACAGTGCTAGGACCTCATCAGTGGCCTCATAGTTCACAGCATTTTCCCCATTTTATATTGATCCTCAATTGATAACTCTCTTCTCTGTTTTCTTGTATTCCAGTAGCAGTGATCACTGGTCAGTAGACTTAGCTGTATGTCCTTTCTCAAAACTATGGTCCCAACTATATGGGAACAAAGAAACAGGCTATATTCTTTTGTCCCTTTGTCCTTAGCCTTGTCTAATCCAAATTAAGAAGAAAAATGTTCTTTGGCTCTTATAGAAAAAAAAACTTTTCAATGCTAAAGATGACATAGGCTTTCTCATGGTGCTTCTTGTGGTGATTTAACGTAGTATTTAGGAGCTGATGTACACTAGGAGGAGGGAACCCCAATTGCCCTTAATATACAATTTATTCTGCTTCAATTCTTTGTTTCATGTTTCACATGGGCAATTCTGAAATAATTTTGCATGTTAGTAGCTATATTTCTATTACATGGACTGCATGTTCTCACACATTGTTTTTCCCTTGGGATTGATTTTTTCAGGTCCAAATCGTTTTAGAGAACTTAGAAACCAAGAAAATTGTTCTTGTTCATGGAGAAGGGTTTGGTGCTTGGTGTTGGTACAAGACCATTTCTCTCTTGGAGGAAGCTGGTCTTGATCCTATTGCCTTAGATCTCACAGGTTCTGGTATAGACAATGCTGACACAAACAGCATAGCTACATTAGCAGATTACTCCAAGCCCTTAATCGACTACCTCAATAAACTTCCTGAGAATGAGAAGGTGAGCATTACATCTAGTGTCTTATGTTGAAAACTATGAAAAAAAACTCTGTGTTTGATCTCTGTGTACATGTCAACACTCATGCAGGTTATTTTGGTCGGCCATAGTTGTGGAGGTGCAAGTGTGTCATATGCGTTAGAACAATGCCCCAAAAAGATATCAAAGGCTATATTTCTTACCGCTACAATGGTAAAAGATGGCCAGAGGCCCTTTGACGTGTTCTCTGAGGAAGTATGTACTCTCTTCATGTGCATCATGTGCATTTTTATGCATGTGCACTTCTGCAGGATAGCAACTGACACTATGTTTTTGCAGCTCGCATCTGCAGATGTTTTCTTGCAAGAATCACAGCTTTTAATTTACGGAAATGGTAAGGACAAGCCTCCTACTGGGCTCATGTTTGACAAACAGCAGATCAAGGGGCTATATTTCAACACCAGTCCTTCCAAGGTACATGTTTTCTACTGTTGTGCTGTCTTGCCAACCGAGGAAAAAAAGCTAATTTCGCATTCCTTGACATATTGCCAGTTTATGTTTTCAGTGGGCTAGCTAATAATTTTATGCACATTAAACTGTAGGATACCGTGCTGGCTGCAGTGTCCATGAGGCCCATCCCTCTAGCCCCAATCATGGAGAAGCTCTCCCTCACCCCAGAAAACTATGGCACCGTCCCACGCTACTTCATCCAGACGCTCGATGATCGAATGCTCTCGCCTGATGTCCAGGAGAAGCTGGTCAGGGAGAACCCGCCCGACGGGATCTTCAAGATAAAGGGTGGCGACCATTGCCCCTTCTTCTCGAAGCCGCAATCCCTCAACAAGATCTTGCTTGAGATCGCTCAGATTCAAGCTCCGACGGCGCTGCTCCCAGGCAAGGCGAAGACGGAGGCGATAGAGGCAACAGAGGCTAAGACAGAAGAAGAGAAAACTGAGAAATTATCATGACTTTGTATTGTGTATGTACATGTAAGGGTAGTAGCACATAGGTTGCAAACAGGAGGAAATACCAGGATCAATTGAAACCAGTCGGCTGCCAGAATAATAATGTACCAGTAGGAAGACGAAAAAATGTTGTTCTTTTTTCTTCTTTTGTGATCAAGTATAGAGAATGAGCCTATGAGAGATCTTCAGTCAGATATATGTTTAACCTTGTGAATTACAGGTTCTTCAGTCTGAACATTTTCATCTTGCAGTCTCTTGTCAGGTGCAATGTGCCAATGCCCCAGTCCACATGTCCAAGTAGCTCTGTGGAGATTCCTTACCTGCTTTGCAAATCTCACAATCTCTGGTTTTTCATCCACTGTGGGGTTTCAGAATTGCACATACCATCGATCTTAAACTGATATAAATTTTACAAAACCACAAGTATTATGGTTCAAATTGTGTAAAACCACAGGGGGGCATATAATTTGACTAATTATTATTTGATCCACAATTACTATGAGTTCTATAGTAATACTCTATCAAATTTGTGGGGGCGGCTAGCTGGCGCGCACGCGCCAGCGGCGCACACTTCCCTCCTATAACTACTCTATTAGTTTACGCTTAACACTAATGACGGGTAATTAGGGAAGATTCTCAATATTTTTCTTTCTTTTTTCAGGAGATTATTTTACTAACATATTGAAATTTTTTTATTCAGATTTGAAAACTTTCGATTTAAGATTTAAATTTTAAAGTCAAATTTTGAAAACTTTCAACCCGGATTTGAAAACTTTCAACTCGAGATTTGAAAACTTTCAACTCAGATTCAAAAACTTTCAAGTCCAGATTTGAAAATTTTAAAGTTAAGTTTTAAAATTACTAGTAAACTAATCACTAGTAAAAAAATAGGAAACTAATCTAAACTAATTACGATTTTTTCTTATATCCGTACGGCAGGAACAGTGAACAACGAAAAAAAAGAAGAAACGGCGGTGTCAAAAAAAAAAGAAAAAAGAGAGAAGAAGCGCGCGTGCGTGGGCCTTGTGGGCCGGAAGTGCGCGCCGGCAATGCGCATGCGCGGATTAGCATTCTCGCAAATTTGTAACTTCGATCTATCATGTACAAGTTGTAGGCTTGTAGCTACCTAAGTTTAAGCATTTTTACTTTGCTATAACAATAAGAAGTAAACTTGGATAATTATGTGATTTTGTGAAACTTTTGGACCATATTACCCGCGGCACGTGCCATATATCAAAACCTTTTTGATTCGGTAACTTGGACCATAATACTTGTGGTTTGGTAATATTTACTCTAATCTACTGTTAAACTTGTTTACACGTTTTGCTAAAAAATTCAAAATCATCATCATTTCATAGTGTATCTGCAGCATGAGAATTATTACTTGGATCACGATAATTTTTTAAAAATTTTCTTGAGAAAAGATTAAAAGGAGACGAATATATGGGTAAAGGGCAGGGCCACTAGGTGGGCTCGTATTCCTTACATGGGCCAATATCAGATGGGCTTGAGAATGTGATGTCTCGTTTAATTGGGCCCGGAAACTAAGCCCAAGTGGAAGAAGAGGCAAAAACGAGTCGGCCTCTGATTCTTCTCCCCTCTTCTTTATTATCTTCCCAAGAAAGAAAAAAAATTAAAATCCTACAGAAAAAAAAAAGAGGAGTCTGAATTGAGGAATCAAATCGAGGCGGCGGCGGCGGCGGAGGCGAGGGCATCGGCGGCGAGGCGAGGCGGCCATGGAGGATCTGAGCGTGGAGGAGCTCGCCTCCAATCTCTCCACCTACAAGGAGCAGCTCCGCGAGGTCTCGCGCCCTAACCCCTATCCTACCTATCTATGTGGTGAAGCTGTTTTTTTTCTTCTCCTTTAAACTCTTCCTGCGAATTTTCCCCGTACAGTTTCACGAGCGTGATGTGGAGATTGTGCTCTGCGGCAGAGGGAGTACGCGCAGTCGCGTGATTTTAGGTCTTTCGAGCTGTCACAGATGCTGTTTCTTTCTCCGTGGATTAGGTCTCGATTTCGTTCGAGTTTCAGATTCTAGGGTTTTGTTGCACGCATGGTTAGGCGCAGAGTGCATATCTATTCAAACGTTAGTTGTTTTTTAAATTCTAGTACATACCTGTCGATTGCTAGGAACTTGATGCAGGTTAGCTTGAAGTAGTATGTGATTTGACCTTACAAATGTCTACTTGTATGCCTTTGTGTGGTTAGCGTCTGTTAATGTTGGTATGCTAGTCATAAGTAGCATTGGCTACATTTCTCACTATTTACAACACAGACAATCTTATGGAAGAACAGTTAGGCATAAAAAAGTGCTATTATTCTGAGGATTTGGATAGGCCAACACCAATAGATACTTTGGGGGAAAATTCTGCTAAGTTGGGAGGGCGTTGAGAACTGACAAAAAAAATTCAGAAAGCTGCTGGATAGCCTGCCAGTATCATGTTTTTCCTTTAAGAATTGATCCTTTTTTGTTAATAAAGAAGCACCGGCTACTGGAAATATTGGTAATATATTACATGCTCATATCCAAAGGTTGCCACTTTGTGTGTTCATGTAATAGATTACCTACCTACTGGGGCACAAAGGATGCACCTCTCAATGTTCATGTAGTTAGGGGTTTTGCGGAATGTACCTGGTGCTTAAAATTTGAAACCTTTTGATGTATGTTCCAACTTCCAGGCTTGAGCTTGTGTTGTTGTGATAATAAATGTTTAATGTTATAATATGCTCACTCCTTTTAATCTATTTATTATCAGATTCTTTTCTCACTTAGACTTTGATATTTTAGATCGACTAATGATCATATGATCTTCTATAAACTCATGGTGCTCTGTTTCAGTCTGACTGAAAACTATAACTTTTTGATCAGTTGATCACTCATTTGCATAAAGCCTGTGGTAGTAAATGTGTGGTAGTAAATGAGCTAGACAGACTGCTATGGGTATTCCTCCTCCTAGCTGAGTTCCATTCAATTCTTATTTCTCCCCAAATCCATTTTTGTTATGAAAAGCTTCTGAGCAATTAGTTCATGTACATCTTGTGTAATCTTTCTTTGCTTATTGCAGGTTAGGAAGATTATCAAGGAGAAAAACGATGATCCTGGAATTTCTGAATACCTTGATATGGAAAAGGAACTTCAAGAGGTGAGTATCCTGCATGTTGTATGTTATGCTGCTGTGTACTTTGTGTTGCTAGGTATCAACTAATTGTCAGATGCCATATCTTGTACACTAATGCTAATATGACTTGATGATTTTCTACAAAAGGATATTTGCTCTTCATTCTATTGCTATCGATCCCTTTTTCTTCTTTCTTACAAGGAGCCATGCCCAACAAGGTAGCATGAAAAGGCAGCTTGCAACATTTTTGTGGGGCATTTAGGTTTTATTGTAACCTTGAAAGGTGAGAAAGGTTGAATATGTCAATGGTAGGGAATATCTGAGCAACCATGTTAATAGTAATGACCACTAAATCTAAAATTCCATGGCTTCAAAGTTGTCCATTACCCTTTATCTTGATTGATTGCAGGTCTGTGTCTCATGGTAGAGTACCTCCTTCCGATTTTGGGTGTTGATGCTGCTTCTCTAAGTTTGAATCGCTAAATATGGACAGATTTAATGATATTGGGAGGTTGGTTCTTGTGTTGTACTTAATGTGATTTTCTGTAATAACTGCAGGTTATTACATTAACAGAAGAGCTTTTGGCAACTGCAAATCAAAGTGGGAACACCCAGAATGATGTAGGTCTATCACCGCCAAATTATTCAAGCGGACTGCAGTCAGAGGTAGCTCTCTTCATTGTTATATTTTTTTTCATTTTTGGAAGACATCATTGTTGAACTTCCGCATTATTTAGTTGCCTTGATCATCAGTATGTGTCAGCCATTCCATGTACCAGCAGGAGATTTGGAAGTTTTACATTTGTTTTACTCATATAGAAAATATTCATGCACGTGGATCTTCTGAGATGTATCATTATGCTAACATACTTCTCTGGTTTTAGGCACTGGATGACCCTTCGCAATCCCATGAGAAGTTTGCAGTTGGGACTAAAGTGCAAGCTGTGTGGAGTGAAGATGGGGAGTGGTAGGTTTCTTCTAATGCACCTATTTCTTGTTTCAAACATTCAACCTTTTCTGTTTAGGTTCTATTACAACATATTTGATTAGCTGAATTGTCAGGTACAATGCAACAATTGAAGAACTGACAGAAAACGGCTATTATGTAAGCTTTGAGGGCTGGGGAAACAAAGAGGAGGTATGCTCATCTTTGGCGATTGGATTTTCCTTACTGCATCACTAGCAAAATTTTGAACAATTTTGTATGGTACTAGATGTGACATTTAATTTATGATTATCACACTAAGTATAAACTTCCACAATGATGTTTTTCCCTAGCATGCAAGTGGTTAAGTTTCCATAAACTTATACTGATACTCTGTGGATTAAATACTATACAGTTTATATCTGCAGGCCTTTTCTGCTGATGAAGTGTTTTTGTAGCTGCATCATCCTGCTGTAATTTCATCCTGCTTAGGATCCATTTAGTTGGTTTTTTTTGTGTTTGCCTGGCTTTTAATAGTCATTTCATCATTGACAAATTCCACGTCTTCCGTTTTGGCCAAAGCGCAACTCACAATTTTGTAAGTCCCAACTTGAAAATGCAAATAATGTAATAAATAGGACATTTGCTAGAATTTATGCAAATATTAGTTTTATTCAACAGTGTAAAGAGGAAAGCAGATTACCTTGTGCTTGGTTCCTTATTTCGTGGTGCTGCATGCAAACAGTTAATTTGCTGCCTCATATAGGTTGACCCTGCTAATGTAAGATCGCTTGAGGAAGAAGCTGCTGATGCTTTGCGTCAAGCTGAAAAGGAAGCTGAAGCTACCAAAATGGCAATAAAGAGGAAAATTGAACAGGCAGCAACATCTGACTTTCAGATGCGTAGCTTACCCACCAAACTCCGTATCGATCCAAATGATCCGGAGGATGTGGTAAGTTAATCCTTCTTTTCTTCTATATTTAAAAATGCGAGGGAGTTGGATATTACTTTTCATATGCTACCATTCTGCACGTGCCTTTCCAACTATGGTAGAAACTCTCACATCCACCTATTGTGTGCCCTTAATAATGAAACGACTCAATTTGACGATTGGATCTGTTTGCCTTGGTACTGATATTTGTAAATTGTAATCATGTACCACACATACAAGTGAGCATATTCATGTTCATGAAAACCTCAGGTATAGTAACCTTATGTAGTTCTAAGATTATGTTTATCTGGTATTCATGCTGTCTTGTTTTAATGAGAACCTGGTAAGATAACATGTACAAGCCTCAGCATTGCATTCTCTGAAGCTACATCCTGTGGGGCCATATGTTCTGACTGACCTTTGTATCTGCAGAAAGCCACAAAGCGTAAGAAGATCCATGCATTCAAGTCAAAAGCCCGCTTTGAGCAGCTAGAATTTGCACAAAATAAGAGGCAGAATGCATGGCAGCAGTTCCAAACGACCAAAGGGAAAGCCAAAAAGGTACTGTCTCTGCCACCCCACTCTAACTTGGCCAGGCACCTCTTTCTGAGAAGGATGTAAGGTGCTATATATACCTCAAAATCTAGCATGTTGTCTAGAACTTCCTTATTATTTTAAGGGTGGGCAATGCCCCCAAATCCAAACAGAATTTGTGAGTCATCCCTGCTTTTTTAGTTTATCACAGCAGACCCTTACTGCTTGGTTTAGAATTACTTTTTCCTCCCTTTTACCTTTGTTATCCTGACTTTGGTGGTTTGCTTTCAGGTTGGGTTCTTTTCCGGTCGCAAAAAGGAGAGCATCTTCAAGTCACCGGATGATCACAGAGGTAAGGTCGGTGTCACTGGGAGCGGGAAAGGCCTTACCGAGTTCCAGAGAAGGGAGAAGCACCTCCATCTCAAGGATGGCTCTTCCGATGCATTGGACGAGGAATAAACCGGCTTAGGCTTTTAGCTTGTGAGAGGCGTATCACAAACACCGCCATGTCCGGCGCTTATTTCCGGACCTGGTCTGAGTGGAGTTTGTACTCTTGTACCAATGTATGCTCCACTTGTCCAAACTAGAAACAACATAACATTACATAACATAGAGATATTCATGTTTTATCTGTCCCCTATGGTACAGTTCTCATGTTGATTCTGATGGCGGTGCCTCTTCCTTTCTATGTCATGTTTTTCATTGGTTTTGAGTTTCAGTAAGGCCTCTCTGGAACGTAGGAATTTTACAGGAACTAGTCAAAAGTCCTGCAAAAATCCTCCGAGTTTCCTACTGATGCCTAAATCATAAGCTGCTGTTGCATAACTGTCATGGCCGCGTATGTTGAACAAGACGCCGTCTTGCCGAGTTGCAGTTGAATACATTACATGTCTTTCTTGTGAAAATTCATGCTGCTGGACCTGGAACCTGTCCAAATTTCCTCATCCCAAAGAATTCAATTCAGTAGCAGCAGCTTCCAAAGTTCTGTCATGGCATATCATCTTCTTGCAAGTTGCAACTAATATCCTCAGCAGAAAACAACCTTTTACAGAGGCATGTCTGATGGCTCCTTTTTCATCCAACTTGTTTAGATGTTTCGTCAACTTTGAACTTTTGCTGCTGCTTCTGAACTGTTCTTTCTTTCTTTCTTCATTTTAATTTTTACAATTCGTCAGCTACACAAATCTGGAAACGTGTAGTTTTACTGTCTTTTGTTTTCTTCTGCTGGATTCTTTGAAGTCTTCTGAGTATGCCTCTGGCATCTGGAAGATAGTAACCAGAAACCAGCTGCATCTATCTACTTTATATTTTTGCTTTCTCCTTTTCTTTAATCGAGAAGACTACTTGTATCAAACAGAATTTGCTGCATCTGTCTACTTTATATTTTTGCTTTCTCCTTTTTTTAATCGAGAAGACTACTTGTATCAAACAGAATTTGCTGTTCATGATCATCTCAATCTCTTAACATTAACCTACTAATTGCCACATGTGGCACACGTTGCCGAACTTCGGCTTGGTCAGCTCTCTCCCAAAAGCTGGTGAAAAACTGAACTCGGTGACATCTTAATACAAAGAATAATGAAAAATATGTTTTTTTTTCTCTTGTTGTTCAGAGAATGAAAAAGATGTTTCTTTTTTGCTGTGGTTGTTCTTGGCTAAATTGGTCACATGATCCCCGTGAAAGTCTTGAGACGTTGGCATGTCAATTCTAGACACCGTGGGGATCAAGATGTGATGCAGAAAAAAGGAGAGGAAACGAAACTAACTGCACATTATGACCTGAAAAACTGCAAGATCACACGGGTTCCTGAAAGAAACTTCTTCAGCATTCTGACTTAGCTTCTGGGACAGTATCTCATCCTCAAAGACCACACGTTAGTTGACAACCGATTGCGATGACGATGGATACATAGAATATAAGATGATAAACTTAGTTTTTCTTCCATGCATGTTTTGCAAGGAATTGAAGGTAAACTGAATTTTGAACTTGAAGTGGTCAAAGGTGTATTTGTTCTAAAAAAAATCCTTGATTTTCACTATAGTAATTATAAAAATTAATTTAACTGTGTTTGCATGTCAAAGATGCAAGAAATTAATCAAAGACTCTGCAAAGCTTATGCATGCACAAGCTGTGTTTTGAAGTAAGGCTGGAGTTATCACTATATACCTACCCTTGAGATGTGACCCTTTTAATATCCTGGAAAATTATGTTGAAACCTTCTCTTTTCTCTCCATCTTATTACGCCACCAGTGCCCCCTTTTGCAGGTCATTAGCAGCTGGTCTTTTTGTCCTCTTTATTTGTAGATTAATCTCTGGTGATTGATATATTGTCTCCAAGATTCAATACTAGTTTTGAGAAAGACCAAAAAAGTATATATTTTTAGATTTATTGTTTGATTCGTGTTTCCCTTTGCTAGTGCTTCTTTAGATGTGTTAGTTGAGAAATTGAGATAGACATATTTTTGCTAATTATTTTCATGGAAAGTAAGTCAGATAAAGCTAGCTAACAATATATTTTACACCAATATTAATCACTTGTCAATCGTCATAATCACTAGTGATTTCTGCTGTTTCTAGAGAGCAGAGAAGTAATATTTCATTTAGCTCTTCTTGGCTGGTAAGCTACACAAAGTCGTTCATTCATTCGACTACTCGAGAGCCCATGAATCTTAAACAAGGTGTTGGTTTGGTGAGTATCACATTTGTGATTGCAGAATCGACACGTTCGGAGAGAAACTTATCCAAGAAAGCATCAAATCATTTCTTCAGTTTCCCCTTTTTTTCATCATGTCGCTCCTGTTCTTCGTCAAATCTTGTCATGATCTTTACGTCAGAAACTGGTAGATTCTGTGAGCATGATCTATGATGATTTCTGAGAACTGATTTGTCAAGAACTGTTCCGGAAAACTAGTTAGCCTGGTTTATTTGTAGCCATGAACCGATCCTGGAGAGCAATTTGGTCTGATCAGTTTGCTGCTGAAATTTGTTAGCCGGTCGCGATGAACTATTGCTTGTCAGAAAATGCAGAAAGAGAGATGAGATTGGGATGGGTTTCAGTTTGGTGAGGATTGTTTTTCAGAGAAATGACAGCTACAGCCATCTGTTCTGACAACCAACCAAGTTGCTCTTGGTTCTACCTAACTAATAAAATTGTCCGTTTACTATACGAATATACCATCTCACAGTTCTTATCTGAAGCAACAGATGTTTTTTTTCTTTTTTTTACTTTTTCATGTACAAATTATGAATCAAGATGAGACTTTTACTGCTCAATAACTGCTGAGAAAAATTAATATGAAAATTCTCAATTAAGATGCAGGGGTACCTCCTTTCTGCAATAAATTCAGAGAGATCAAAATGGAGAAAATTAAGGCCTAAGAAGACTCCCTAGGATGCTTACTCAGCTTGAAGAAAATGCAACGGATGCATGCACTTTTTACAGAAATGAATTGCATTTTTTATACTAAATTAAGCTTTTCTCATTGCTGCTTTCTTGGCGATTAATTGCGATGTGCAACAGAGTAATTAAGACATACATATGTACATGCTGCTGCAAAACCGATCAATCAATTAATTAATTAAACCTCTAATCTACGCTACCTACACCTAATAATTGGCACACACATACTTCGATCGACCAAGTCGTGCGTACGGACGTGTTCGCCATGACTGTCTCTACTAGCTGCTCACTCCATTTCAGAATTTTCAGCTGGCGCGTAGCAGTGAGTGACTGATTCAATTCAATGTTCAGTCCAGTTAATCTCGAACAAAAATATGACTTGGTCAGGGTTAGTCCAAAAATTATATATAAAATCCTGCCAATTTGATTGATCTCCACTAAGCAGTAATCAAAGACTTGTCACCAACAGAACCATACAGAAATTCAGATATCTGAAAACTTACCTTCCACATTAGCAGGAGCATAGAGGATCAACAGTAATATAATTCAGGTGTTAACATGCAGCTTTTTTTTGCAAGCATATATATATATATATATATATATATATATATAATAGAAGTCTTTATTAAACTAATTGTACTAAGAACATTTCTGACCTCTGCGTAACTAGAATGTACACAGCCAAACATACATGCATACCCACAACTTATAAAATGGGAAATACAGTAAGTATTAAGTACCATTAATCATAATACTAAATCGTCACCCATATCCCTAGTTAAAACACTCCTGATCACTCGACGTACGCGTAGACATGTCACAACAAACAACCAAATGATCCCATAAACCAGGCTTGTTAACATGCAGCTAGTCTGCTGTTAATCCATGAATACATGAATGTGAATGCCATGACAATCTCTCATGGAAGAAGACGCTGTATAAATGTGATCCAATTTCAGAAACGATCGAAAACGACGTACGACAAACATATACAGCAGATGTAATCAAGAAGATAGGCTGTCGCCATGGATTGCAAGCATATATATATGGCCATTTTCAGAGTTTCAGAGGCATGCATTCCTGCTCATATGCATCTCATGCGTCAACGGCGAAAACAACAGATAATGTTAAAGGCGTGGAAACATGTAAGAACAGATTACCCCTGACGGTAGGCTAACTAGCTGCAGTAGCAATCGAGAAAAACACATCTAAGTAGCTGTCATTCTGACTAAACAAAACATAGTTAAGCAATTAACAAGTACTGCAATCGATCAAGCTAGATATATGTGTGATGATCTTAAGCTTGAGAGTTAAGATTAATATATAGGCAGAATTGAAGTAGCTTGCTAGCTAGGTTTTGGGTTAGGAAAAATAGGATCACATGTTTGTTCACCATCAATGTTACAGAAACGGTCTCTCTCCTCTCCTAACCTGAAAGAGACGATTAATTGCAACTAGTAGTAGCAATTAGGAGCAGAGCTTGGCTAATATGCTAGCTAGGACATCTGTAGTACTGCTGTACTACCATAAAAAAATGAACAAGAAAATGTTTTGTTTTTCACTCAACCTTCGCATTTGCTATTACTTTAATTAAGATTTAATTTCCAGAAAGATTTTGTCAAAGAGCTAGGGAATAAATATCATTCCAGAGGTTTTGTCCCATCCTCCTTGGAGAGGTATATCTAGCTAATTGAGAGGTAACAATTATTAAACCGGTTGATCTGATTAAAAGACAAGTTTATCATTGATATTGACGAGAATTTTGTAGTCTTTGGAAGATATAGAGAGGTATATACATAAGATATACCCCATAGTGATAGTTAGAAGGAGGTATATACCCCTTGAATAATACAAACACCTATAGGAAAGAAATCGTTTAGAATATATTGAAAATAAGTTTGTAATTCTATTCTAACCTATAATATTACATATTTGTTGCTTCCTTTTATGCATAGATACATCTCAAAGTATGATGATGGAAAAAAAACCAGCATCATATAACTAGTAGTAAGAAAAGCATACTACCCCCAATTCAAAATATATAATAACTTTTAACTACGAATCTGGATATGTATTTGTTCATATTCATAGCAAAGATTATTATATTGTAGGACAAATATATTACTATTAAACATGCTCAACATATATCTATACGAAGCAGCATTACACACCATGGACCATTAATGCTTTAAAAGAGATCGATTAATTGCTGGTGTACTGCAGTAACGAGAAATGCCCAGGGGTCTTCCGGCTAGCTCCACAAGGTGGTGGGCTAGACGGCCTGG